GTATTCATTCAGGTTCCTGAAGATTATCCTTCCGATCCCTGTTTTTTATTACGAAGGTCCAAAGTTTTTCTTCTCTTACTAGTTACGGAAGAAGGGGTTGGTCCAGTCATGTGGTGCCCCCTTCACAGGGCTAAGACTGTTTACTCTGAGATGTCGCCCTGTTCTCCAGAGGCCCCGTTAGCGACACCATACCTCGGTGCCAGAGCCTCGTTAACCATTCCTCGGCCACCTAGGCAAATATATCAGCAAATCGCCTCAACCTTGCTGCAGATGTCCACGAATTATTGCCTAGCGCAAGACGTAGCAAAGATGTTTCAAAAATTTCCCACACCACTTAATGGCGAGGTTGGGCTTGGGGGAGAAGAGGAAAAGGAGAGTTGGTCACAGAAGGCCGATAGGAGGGATTGAAAAAGCAGAAGATAAGAGAATATCATATAGGATTAGTTGAAGTATGGTGAATATTTGGCTAGGGTACCTCGGGTTCACCCTCCCCACCACTTACAAAAACGGACACAAAACGAAACATTATGTCATTGCGGTATTTGGTCGTTGGGTACCGTCCAGAACGAGTTGTGGTCGTTTTTCTCGCTCAATGAGCGTTTCAGATGTTTGAGCTTTACATGTATAAGAAGAAGAGAGACGAAATTGTTCACATTTTGCCCTGATCATCGTTCTCAGCAGAAAATGATGATCGTATGTCGCTTCAATATGTTTCTCAGACAGATGAATCATCAAATTCATGAATGACATCAGTTAGGATTATCAATACTCAACTCAAAAGTAATAAAACTTTGCATGCCTGAATGTAGAGGTTTCGGAGATATTTGCGAACAACTTGAGACATGTCTTGAGGTAAAGTCAATGAATATTCATCTGATGACTGATGATTCGATAACATTCAGTTTGAGTCTCATGTAATATTTGTAGTTTCATCATTTCGCTTTTATATAGGGCTCGTCATTATGAGTGTTCGTTTGATACGTTTCGGCATAATGACCACTTTCGGCAAGTTGTGCACCTATCTATTTCGCCGTATTGACCAACAATTTGGCGACTTGACCATTCGGCGACGTGTCTGTTAGACTCACTGTCCGTTGTTTGGGGGTGATATTATTTGGTGTACTTGTACTTCATGTTATATTGGATTGAGAGAGAGTTTTATTCAAGGAATTCATATATGAATCACTTGATATCATCCATAGTTTGAGAGATTGAATGATCAATTTACTTACTACCTATATGAAATCGGCACACTTCTATTTTCGAGTGTCCTCACATGGATTATGTCGCTACTCAACATATAGGTTCCCACAAGAAGATGCTGACAATGCTGATCCCACAGTTTGGATTGCCTGAATCCACCGTTATTTCCTTGATTTCAGCAAGATCGTCATGTGCCAAGCAAGAGCCGTTCTGGAATCAGTCCTCAACTCAACTCCGTATGTTATCCATCTCTTGTACATACATATATATAAATGACATGCATACATAATTTGTCATGCATATGGAAAATAAAGTTTTCCAAAGTAGAATTCGAGCCATCGAAGATATAATTCATGAGATGATAAGATTCAAGTAACTCGCCGTATCTCATCTCTCAAAAAACGAATTCTATCTGAGAGAGCTCCAATATAACCTACAGAGTGACCCATTTGATAGCGTGCCACCCTCATGCATTTCTTTGATTATGAGGCGATTTTCAAGGGTTTTTTTCTTGGGATGTAGGGAAAAGCGAGTTGTTTTTTGGAGCTAAGCGGCGTCCACCATTTGAAAACCAAGGCTTACTAGATCACATTCAGAGACTGATAAATCCAGAATCCACATTAGCGACTTCATGAAAAATTAACGTGAACCACTAGAATCGGCATCCTCTGAAATAGATCTGTACCCTCTATATTTCAGCTATTAGTGCGATTACCAATTCTGAACCAGTATGGATAACCATCAGAAGGATCAGTTTTTCGAAGATTAACATGCTTTTGGACAGAGCCGTGCGCGTTTCATCGGAATAAAAAAAAATGAATTTTTCATGAAATCAAATTAGGAATTGTTTCGCAAGAAAACCTCCATATGCCAAGAAATCACCCAATTCCAAATTCCGATTTCACAAAATGGTAGATTCAAATAAAGTGCCAATTCAATAAGTATCTAAAAGGACAGGAGCAAGCCAATTTTCAGAAGATTTGTTCCGTTATTTCAGTCACAATTTCAGAATATTTTGTTGTGGTTGTTGCTTGGAGGAGGTGAATTTTAGGACACATATTCATAAAAAGAAGAAGTCTTATTTTGATCCCACAATATGTCCTTGAAATATTCACATCAAAATCTGAATCACCCTGTATATGATTTCATAAAAATCGACCCCTTATAATTTCGATAAAATCAGGGCACTATCCGAAATAATCTTCGTCTTCTAGAAAATGATCATATTGATGACTACCCAGACTGGTCGAAATTTGGCACGAATCGTACGACTAATAGCTGAGTGAAGAGGGAATCCGTTTGAAATGGGACACGCTGGAGAATCGTTAATGTTCGATATTTCCACAAGAAACTTTGAACTGATCTATTTCAGAGGACACCGATCGCAGTGGGGCACGCAGATTCTCTCTAAAAAAATCGTAAATGTTGATTCTGGATTTTTCAGCCTCCGAATCCGATCAAGTAGGCCTTGGTTTTGAAAAAAGTGGACGCCGCCTGGCTCCAAAATACACTATTTTCTCCATCTACAAAAAAAAAATTGTGAAAATCGCTCCATTTATAGAACATATTATGTATGATGGTGGCCCGCTTTCAAATGGGTCACTCTGTATATATTCAAATCTAATATATTTTTGCAAAGTAGAGAACCTGTATGGAAACGGAAGTCTACGCATTTAACAATATCTCAAAGCATATGTACTCTCAGAATTCCTAATTCTCTTTGATTTATTGAGAAAGTAATAACTGTAAATTAATTACTTCTAAATAGTCCAACATAACATAGACCACTTTATGTCGCAGCAAGCTTACATTTCATATCCCGCTTTTTTATTATATCATCTTACTAAATTAATATGGCTTCGGAATTATTAGTTATACCTTATAAATTATGGAATGACAACCTACAATTTCATTCATACTTGAAGATTTATTGATTCAGCCTTTCATGAATTCTCTGATAATGACCATTTTGCGTATGTTTTGGAAAACTTCCGCATCTAGTGTTATACATGCTCAAACAGTTGAAACTCATGTTTGCACGCTAGTATTTTATTCATACGCCTTCTAACTTGACTAAAGCATATCAAATAGAATGATTTATTTACATACGGTGTACAAAAGAAGATAATATGTTAGCTCATTTTGAACATGATTTGCTGCTTCTTTGTTCATGTTGGTACATTATTGTTATATTGATGATGATAATTTGAGACATCGCTGTGTTTGCATTGAAAAGTTATCCGCTTGAATTATTGTAAGGCGATGCATCATTGATTTATGATTACATTTCAGTAGCTACCAGATTGAAAATGGTGGATACATAGTGAACAAGATATGTAGAAGCTGATGATGTTCTATTGGGAAAATACTGGAATGATTCATGTTATCTCCTCCAATTCATACTGTTCGATGTTGCGACCTTTCACATTTTTATATTGATACATCCACGAGGAATGATCTTCAGGAATCTCTGCAAACATTCCATTACTAGCAATTACTAGTCAGAAGTATTCGACAAACCCCAGTCAGCACATCCGTTCGTCGTCCACTTCGAAAAATGTCGAACAAATTTTTACCAAAACTAGTTTGTCTATATACGCCAGTCAAAATCGACACAAAAAATCGCTGAATTCGCAAAACATGATGTATCTCTGATTTTTTAGTATGTTTTTCGGATCTATCAGAGTAGTGTATACCCAAGTTTGCAACTCTCAAAAAGTTGTGGAAAAAGTATAGCACACGAAAAACTGCGAAATTTTCGAACTTTTTTAAGTTTTTGCTCTATATCTCCTAAACTATGCATTTTTCTACAAACAATGCTATATATGTTTTTGGAGGGAATCGAATGTTCAACAATTTGAATCTGAGCAGAGTTCTGTAGGTTGGTTATCAACGGAACTACGGTACTTTGAATATAGCCCATTTTTCTTAGAAAGTGAAAATTGCAGTTCTGGACCTACTCTTTAGACTAACATTGCGGCTGAACTATTGATGCTACAGCTGAAGCTCATGTAATGAAAGTTTTAGAATTTTAATTTCATCACCTTCAAATTGAGCTCACAGTGGGGTCTGCAGGCCTCACCGTTCTCTCAAAATCTCGGAAAACCCTATATAAGATAATATCGCATTTTTCCAGATATCTACCAAATCACTGTTTTGTTGCATAAAGTGAGTTTTGAACATTCACTAATTTCAAATATTTGGGCCAAAGCAGAACTTCAAATTGAATGAATTGTAGGTAGGTACCAATTTCATAGTCAATGTATGATGGCGCCCGAAAGAGCACAAAATTTGGAGAGCGATCACGACGGTATTCTGCAGCATCAGTGGAAATTGTATTTGACGCATCAACCATCATCACAGTCCCCCAAGAGAAGATGCTCTCAAATGACAAAAACAAAGTTCGTCTCATTGACCATCTATCTCTGTTCTGCTATTGCTCTCGAGGGGATTTAGACAAAAAAATAGCAGAAGAAGACGCAGACCGCGATATCGTTTTGACTGCTCTGCAAAAAAGTACATCCAATGACCACGTCATCATCGTTGGAGAGGATGTTGATCTACTCGTGCTCCTCTGCGGTCTAGGATCCACTAAATCGAACGTCTACTTCCAGAAGAGTAGCAGAGGTGAGGCAAGTTGCATCTAGTTTTTCAGCAGCTCATTCAACCAAGGAGAAGTGGAGGTACCAACTGGATTTGAGCTGTTCGTTCATGCATTCACTGGGTGCGACACCACCTCTGCCAGGGAAAAATGAAAATGTGGGGTCACTTCAAACAGAATCAAGCCGCAGTAGACCATGCAAAAGTTTTCCTCCAGCCAGATGCCATGCACACATCGAGGAGTCGCAACAGCTGGCGACAAGTGCCTAGTTGCCCTATATGAAGGAGACGAGACGACAGACACCCTCAACGATGTACGCTTCCGTACTTTCGTGAAGACAGCGGCCAACGCCAAAGCGAATCTGGCGCGTTTGCTATCAACCACAGAGGCTGCGTCGTATCATCACTATCGCACATACCACCAGGTGCAAAAGTGGCTATAGGGATGGAGACAAATTCCGCCGACTGGGGTTAGGAGTTGAGTTCGGCTGGACTCATCCCCATTACCAGTCGGAAAGCTCCTGCCCCACCAGAGCTCCTGAAACTTCTTTCTTGCAAATGCAAGAAGGGATGCAGAGGAGGCTGCACTTGTCTAAAAGCAGGGTTCAAATGTTCTGTGATGTGTGCTACCTGCTATGGGGAAACGTGCCAGAACGCTGCCCATATCATCATCGAAGAGGATGACGTGACTCAAGAGAAACCTAACGAGCCTCAAGACAATCATGACGCTCCACCAATGATGGCGTACTCACCTATGGAGGAGGACGACGACGACGATCCACCTATAGTGGGGGATGTACCCGTCGGAGAGTTCATCAAATACAAGGCGACGATTTTGACCAGGTTTGATTGAATGATTGATCACTGTTATTTTGATTACTTATGTTCATATTAATAGTATATTACACACCGAGGTGAAAAGTGATTCATTCCTGTCGTGAGATTAGTCAGTTAACCGAGACACAAAGCGTGGAGGTTAGCTTCAATCTCGAGACAGGAATTAAACTCCCTACCGAGGTTTGTATACTATTTTATTTACAACCATCATATTTCGATCAAAATTAATGAGTCAATGTTTCGTTCTGAACATACCTGAATTATTACATGAGTGAGGGCAAGAAGTGAGGGCGGGAAGTAGAGGTGTGTAATGAGATACTTCCCAACCTTCATTGACGTTAGTAATTACAACATTACATGAGTGGTTATAAATAAAATACATTTCATCATTTTTTTCTCAATTACAACACCAAAAAACAAAAGAGAGGAAAGGTTTTGGATTATTTCTGGAGAGATGCGTATTGGTTTTGCGATATTTTGAGAGAACTACGAGGCCTAAAGACCCCGATGTGAGCTCAATTCGAAGCTGACGGAATGGCCTACAACTTTCAATCCATAAGTTTTACTCGTAGTATCAATGGTTTAGTCGCAATTTTGGTATAAAGTAGGTCCAGAACTGGAATTTTCACTTTCTGAAAAAAAAATGCCTATATTCAAAGAACCGTAAAGTTTCGTTAATAATCAACCTACAGAGCTCCGCTTGGATTGAAATTGTTGAACATTCGATGTTCTTCAGAAACGTATACCGGGTGTCCCAGTATACCTGTTCCAACGGATTATCTCAGCTATTTCGGAAGATAAAAATTTGAAAATTTCATGATCTCCAATTCGTCAAAGGAACCTCCAACTGAAAGAAACAAAAATTGAAATCGTAGCCTACTGCAGTTCTTTCAATTTGAAATTTCAATTGACGTTTTCTCCATCAAATCAAATGTAAAATACAAAGTGTGATACATCGTTGGAAAGGTAATTTTGAGTGAAAAGCAAAAACTGCAAGAAATATACAGGGTGCTATTTGAAATAAAAAAGTCAGAGTCCCTTCCGGTCAAACCGGAAGTGACTTTCAATTTTTGTTTTTTCCAATTAAAGGTTCCTTGAACGAATTGGGGATCATGAAATTTTCAAATTTTTATCTTTCGAAATAGCTGAGATAATCCATTGGAACAGGTAAACTGGGACACCCGGTATAACAGTTTTTGTCGAAAAATTTATAGTTTAGGAGATTTAAAGCAAAAACTGAAGAAAGTCCGAAATTTTCGCAGTTTTTCGTGTGCTACACTTTTTCCACAACTTTCAGAGAGTTGCAAACTTGGGTATACACTAACATAATGAGTCCAAATAATATACCGGAAAATCAGAGATATATCATGTTATGTTTATTTATTGTCGATTTTGACTGGCGTAATAGAGCGGCACAGCCTTGGAATTCTTTGCCAAATTTGGAAGATCAAAAATTGATTCCAATACCTGCCTTCCCTTCCTATCCTCCCTATTTCAAGCATTCGACATTCAACAGAAGAAATATCTGGCAGGACTCTTTCTTGGAAATCTGAGATGGATAGTTTGCTACGAATATCTATGCAAAAGTGTTTGCTTCCTCTTGCGATGTTGTTTCGTTCCGACTGCTTTAGAAACGACCAAAACGAACGTGACTCATTGGTAGGGCTTCGCGAGACCAAGACCAATATCAAGACTGATCAGTCTTGGTATTGGTCTCGAAAAATAAATGTAGTCTTGGTTTTAAGACGAGACTGGCTCAGTCTTGGTCTTCGTCTAGATAGTCTTGGTTCTGGATCAAAACGCCTTTAGGAATTTGAATTATTCAATAGTTGATATGCATATAATAGGTATTTCGTATTCCTCATGCAGTCTCTAAAATTGTCAATTTGTGCCTATAAAGTAAGCGAAATAAATTTGTCCTTCCACCATAAGAATGCAATTTTCAAGAAACCTTGAATCCGACGCCCGACAGGCCAGAAAAAAGGTTCGAAATGGTCGGAACTGACAACAACGCATTATCAGAATATTTCAGAAGAATTCAAATTCAAACCAATCGAACATCAGAATAAAACAGATGAGGCAGAATGTTCCTTCATGTTCTCCAAATATATTTGGCCCAAAATTGTTTCATACCCTACCAAAAGAGATACATTCTTGTGACTCCCTAATATTTTTCGAAAAAAGACTTAAACTATTTCTAGCAGATGAGTCTCGTTTTATAATATAAACGAATTTCTATTGCCAGATAACGTGTGATGAGCATACTCGCATTGTATTTTTCAATTACATTTCATTGTATGTCTCATTTTCATTGTATGTTAAAATTTCATCTTTTCTTCTTATGCTACGAATCATTTACAATTTCTTTTATTTGTACTAACATACATCGATTGATTGACCATTTCCTATACATCTAAAATGTCAAAAGGATAATAAACTACTTACTCAAATACCTTTTGTATTAAATTTGTTACTATCTTCAATAGGAGGAGGTATGGACCACTGTGACCTTACAAAAAACACCTGCTAGTTGTAGTAAATTTTGAAACTGCAATACTGAATTTGAAAAATCTATTTCGGATTTTGAGTGAACAAAAATCGGGGGGAAAATAATGCCGACTTGATTTTTGTTTGGCTAGGCTTCGCTGAGTCGGCGGTCTTAGGACTGCTGGCTGGAGACTACACTGCATTGATGAGAGTCAAAGAGCTCGAAACCGGTCGGTGGTTGTCTGGCGTGGCCTGGCTGAATCGAAATCAATAGGCATTCAGGTAAGAATCACTTGTATCAGTATTCGTTTATACGAGTCGATGCATAGATTTCGCGAGGATGTAATTCAATGTCCTGCGTGGCATTAGCCAGGGGAGTAGTTGTTTTTCTTCCAAAATCTACCATTGTAATGACTTCAAGTTTTTTGTATTTATTTAAAGATCAAAAACCTATTATATGACAAATAAATAACTGAAATAGAATCCCATTACATTTTCCATCAGAGTTTTCCTAATATTGAGTGGATTTGAGTTCAATATTTTCCTTTCAAGACCAAGACCAAGACTCTAAGGAGGGAGCCTTGGTCTTGGTCTCGATAGTCAAGTCTTGGTCTTCGTCTTGAGAAGATTCATTAAGTCTTGTATCAAGATGAAGACCAAGACTGGCTTGGCATTGGGACAATGAATCTCTAAGTTTCCATCTGATTAGGCATTGAAAGCTTTTTCAGAAGCATAATATATTGTGTGGCCTGGTTTGGCTGCATTCCTAGTGTATACATATAATGATCTGGGATATTTCCGAAACACACTGTGAAGTATCTTTGGAATCGAAACTATTTCTATGCTAAGGAAATTCGGAACATTATCTGTAAATGCAAAAGCTTTTCTTGGCAGAACGCGTCATTGTATAACGTTTACTGAATATTACGATGTGAAATTGATAAACTTATAACTGATGGTGATTTGAAGTGGAAACAATACTCAGTTAATCAACACGACAGGTTTCGCTAACACAGTATAGCTTCTTCAAGTGAAAGACCCGTTCAATAAACTGTGGAGGAATGTTTAAGTATTTAGTTCATTATATTTTTGGCGATATTTCGGTGCATAGCCTGATTTTGTATAAAACATTACGATAATTTTGAGAAAGAACTAATCAATGTAGATCAAGCTCAATGTTGTTATACTTATATCGGGTGCATGCGTCCCTCCGGAAACTAAATCGATGATATAATAAACTATACTTAAGTAGGGCGGATTTGGAAATTTGATGGCATATTACTGTTAATTGGAGCAATTTGACTTTAATATTTACAAGATGAGGGAGGATGTCAAATTGCTTATTTTGAATAGGACACCCTATACAGGATGTTTCTTAAGTAGGTGTAAACATTTCAGGAGTGTCAAACTCTGATTCTTCTTCTTGTTGTTTTGTGAAAAAATTCAAGAATAAACGTGGTAGTGAAAATTCCATTCTCTGTATTCCAGAATCGAATGACTCACGGACATATTTTTATACGAACTTTTCTTCTCATTTTGACGTCAGCATTAGCCCCTGCATTTTTCACACGTACTTAAGAAACACCCTGTGTATCAATTCATGTTGTGAGTCTACACGGAGAAAAAATTTCATTGATCACAAATCAAAAACCACTTCTCCCAAGCGAAAACCTCAACAAAATAGGGGACGAGTGAACTATGCATTTGAAGCAAATAACTCGAAACTTTTGCCAAGGTAATAACTTTAATACTTACAACCAATAGTTCAAATATTCAACGTAAATTACCAATGATTTGAGATTATTTTATAGCAATAACTCTGTTCAACTAGGACGAAATGTTTACTTATTCATAGCTCATAACATATAATGATGAACACAAATGATCGCGTTTCTATATCAAGTGATTGGCATTTGCTTCAAGTGACCATGATGTATAATCTCAAATCATCTCTCAATTAGCTCTCAGCATCACCTTCATTGCCCATTAATGTATATTTCATTCATGATGTATTAGCACATTATTTGAGACAAATCAGTTTTCTGTTGGAAGCAAATCGTTTCAATTTTGTTACTACTGGGTGTTTGTATTACTGCAAAGAACATTGTCTATATCTTTCAAATCATCATTTATTTGCCACAGATATTTTTCGATTTGTTCCCATTGCTTTTCATTCTAGATATTCAATCGGTTGTGGCCTCATCAAAAGAACTTTGTAATTTTTCTAGTATGGCTCTGGTTCCATTCCTGTTTTGATTGCCTTTGCCAACTGCGATTTTTTGAATGAAGGGTAGACAACCATCTGATCGTTGTCATCATTCCATTTGAAAGGTATAGCCTCCATCACTTCGCCTGTCTTCACAATTTCCACTATTACCCATGGCATAGCTGCAACATAAAAAATTATAACACTTAAATTGTTTTATTGATTGTATGATCTGAATTCACAAACACAATAGCTTGAAATTTCAT